GAGGATATCTTAGACATCTGTATGTTATTACGAATCCTAATACAGTATTATTGGTGTGAATATCGGAATTAAGCGAAAATATATTTCTTAGACAGGAAGTGCAGAAACCATTTAACTGACAGCGGTATACAGTTAGGCACTTATGAAATATCCATCTTTCTGTTAAAGAAACCCAACCAAGTTCCCCAAATAGCTGAACAGAACTAGTTTCTCTAATTTTACGCTTAAGAATAATACGCTTGCCACGTTTCTGCAAACGAAGAAGTCGCTCTAAGCTAGTGTTTTAATGAGCAGTGTATCAGATATTAAGCTTATAAGAACAGATACTACACTCAAGGCCGAGAAGCGATTAAAAAAGAAATAAGAGATAAAAGAGAATTATTGAAGAAAATCTTTAATTTTTGAATTCCTCTTATTCCGAAACGCCATCCCCCCTGACTTTGATAAGCCAAGATGTTCGATAAACATGAATCCAAGCCAATTCACCAGTTTCGAGTTGTCTGTTGCTCAGGGTTTTGTGTAATCTATTCATGTGTTCCAGTGAAGGTCCGTGGAATTTCAAAGTGTTTGTATTGTTGAAGTTGTGCATTCTTTACCTTATCGTTGGTATTTGTGAATATTAAGACACTGATACGAAGCTAAGCCTGAGTAAATGAGTCTGTATATTCAAGGAACACAGGGTTTAGTTAGGGAAGGTATAATTGCTTGAGATATTTTCCGGATTAGCTGCAGGATTTTATTTTTTGGACACAGGATCCATATCCACCACTTTTGATTACAAACGATCTGAGATTGATTTCTGAGCGCCACCGGATTTTATTAGAAAAAATAAGGATGAGAAAAATAAAAAACGATAAAAACGTTTTAAAATCTTGACCACTAGGGATATAATGCGTTTTTAACAAGAAGAGTAAATTAGTCGAATTTCATCTTCATAAATCCTTTCACTTTGCACATATTAATTTCTCGTTTGAAAAAAATCTGTGTTGTATTCATATTGTTTTATTAAAAGCATAACTGATGAAAAGAAATAATACTAAAGGGAATGGCAGGAGGCCAGGCGGCAGAAAGACATGAGGATTCAGTTTTGGGTGGTTTTTCTTGGCAATCTTTACTTTTATTTTGCTAGAATGGAAGAGGTTCCAGCTCTTCTTCCTTAGGACCATCATCGTTTTTCCATGGTATCTTCCTAAGGTATTCTAGCTGAAACTCTTCCATATTCCCGCCCTTATATTATAGCATTATTTTGCTAGAATGGAAGAGGTTCTAGCTCTTCTTCCTTAGGACCATCATCGTTTTTCCATGGTATCTTCCTAAGGTGTTCCAGCGGAAACTCTTTCATATTATTGCTCTTCTTTATAGCAATCAGCGAACCGCTAGTCGTACCACATAAGTTCCTTCTAGCCGATATCTTGATATAACCATTCTCTCCCCACAGGTGTCCCCACGAGTTTTTGATCAACCAATAGGAGACGCCCTTTTCGTTGCCATAGCCAACCGTTATAACCGCGTGGTTTGTGTTTCTTCCTAAGATAAAATTATACAAACAGCTAGTTATTATTCAAGATGTCATGGCCTTTGGCTGCCGTGACGTCGAAGCAGCTAATTTGGAGGACAAAACAAAATAATCTCCTGAGAATTGGAAACCTATTGTTATGTCCTCCAAATTGAGCTGCATTCGGACGTGCTGCAAGGGGTCTATTCAATTTCCGGTGGTGTGAGTTAGTAATTATTTTTAACGACGGAAGCCAAAAACCGGCGAAATGTTTTGAGCTGTGTTGGTTGCGCGAAAATAGGTGTAGTAAAGATAATAAAAATGGACCAAATTCACTTGGGCGTAAAGTTTTCGCCACATTTCAGACCACGTGTCATTGTCATTCTCTTGAGAATAAGATTCTTTGTTTGAGTCCATATCCATATTCATGTGTCTTCTCATGTGCAACCGTTAAACAAAGAAATGATACTCTAGAGAATGACACATGGTCTTGAGAATAGATTCTTTGTTTGAGTCCATATCCATATTCATGTGTCTTCTCATGTGCAACCGTTAAACAAAGAAATGATACTCTAGGGAATGACACGTGGTCTTGTGAATAAGATTCTTTGTTTGAGTTGTATTCATATTCATGTGTCTTCTCATGTGCAACCATTAAACAAAGAAATGATACTCTAGGGAATGACACGTGGTCTTGTGAATAAGATTCTTTGTTTGAGTTGTATCCATATTCATGTGTCTTCTCATGTGCAACCGTTAAACAAAGAAATGATACTCAAGGGAATCACACGTGGTGTGAAATAAGAAAATAGTGGATTAGGCCTGTTGAAAAATATTTTCCGCTGAACGGCATTTTTATTACTTACTGCACTTTACGTCGTCATAGATACCGTGACTGTAGAATCTAAATGTTTTTCGATCAGCGTTGACTGAAGAAGCTATTGGCCCATGAGTTGCCAAGGCAATCTTGAGTAGCAGTGGATTATGTTTCTTGACATGCATGAAGCCATTAATGTGGACAGTAGTGCAGTTACCTTTACCACAGTGACAGTACCCCTCCTGAAAATGAATATTAATGAGGGTGATATTTACAACCGTATGTCATCGTCCTTCGTCCATCCGTTTTACACCCCATCCTTACCTGTGCAAGATACTGTCCATAATCCCTCTTGGTAGCAATGCCGTTTCGTTTGATCCACCGCAGTGTTCTGTCCTGGAATCCTCCCCTGCAACCATGGTTACCGACCGGCCACGTGCAATCTAGAAGCTGCTGTTTGGAGAGCTCTACAAGTTTCCCAGTCTGAATAACAATAAGTTTGAATATTTGGAATTTCGTCATCTCTTTGCGACTTCTACCAGAATCCTGCTCGAATTCTACGTTTATGGCATAGTTTACTTACTCGCAAGAAGACTGAGCCCTCGACAGCTCCTAGCGCCGAGAAGGTCCAGCATGAACCGCACATCCCTTGGCTGTGGACGTGGGAAACAGCTCCTGTGTTAAAACAACTTTGTTTCATGATAGAGTTATTAAACAACGCATGCGCAAATGCTTGTCCTGACTCACCAGACATTAGGGAATGAATGTTTACGCATGCGTTTATTTCCAAGAATAGGCCACCTTTCTTAAAACAAGGCTTTAGTTAAATGTACTTCATGTATGTTACAAACACGCGGAGCACCAAATGATACTTAATGATATCTTAAAACGAGGCTTTAATTAAATGTATGGTACTTGATGTATGTCACAAACACGCGGAGCACCAAATGCATTTATTAGTAGAAATAAAAAATTTGCAGTTTATTTAAGGTATTTAGAGATCTCGAACATGGCCCATTCAAAAGCGTTGTCATGATGAAAAGAAAAGTCACTTTATTCAGAATATACAAAACTTTTTCTGATTATCCTTGTGTCAGGACTAGGATGTTGTGTTAATAAAGAAAATATGTTTCAACAACTGACTCAAAGTTTTGGCATTTTCTCAATATCGAATTTGCGAATTTGCGAAAACGTTTTGGAATGCTGAATTTGCCATACAGACTATGTGAGCATGCGCAGACTTACCATAATCTCTCCAATCTAGACTCTGCGGCACCCTTGCCAAAGCTCTACTAATGTTAATATTTATGTGTTTGGCGGCCGGATGTCGACTCGTATGGTCGTGGAGGAGTCCATTTTGAACGCGGATTTCTTCATCACTGATGTCCGTCAAGTGATTTGATYCTAACTTGTATTTTAGGTTTTGACGATTCTTGGAGTAAATGAACCTGAAAAAGATTSGAATGGTACGTCTTTAGACGGGAAGGCGAAGACARGACAGGACAGGACAAGTATTTCACACCTCATATTGTGTTTATAGATATGTTTTCTGGTCTCGTGTTCCTTCGCTGTTTTGTACTTCTTGCGATGTTTTTTCTTGTACTTGTCATACAATTTGTCTATTTCTTTGTCTTTTGCATGATTAAAATGCATAAACTCTGCCATGGGATTCATGACGTAAGTGGAATTGATTCTTGYCCTTTTTCTGCAAAGAGATTCTAAATGGGAAAAGAAAATGGAAAATTGAATGGCAAAAATACCTCGGATAGGGGAATACATCCTCYCTGATTATACGCATTCTTTTAATCGTCGTTTTTCTTCGGTTTTCATCCCTTCGTAAAACCTATAACAGTTATAAATTGCGATTCATTCTGTAAGTCAGCAGTGCCCTGACTTTGATCAGCCCAGAGKTTGTTTCAGGGTTTGATCTGTGAGTTAGTTGTGCCCTGACTTTGATCATCCCAGAGGTTGTTTCAGGGTTCAATCTGTGAGTTAGCTGTGCCCTGACTTTGATCAGCCCAGAGGTTGTTTTAGAGGTCAACGAACAAACATTTGCTGCCTTCTCCATACTAATCCACTAACCTCCAGGAACGTCAAAGACTGTAGTATTGATCTTCCAAGGCTCAAACGTGATGTAATCGATGACGTAATGGTCATAATGTGACGTCAGCAGATCGTCATATCCTATCATCTCGAARCGCAAAGGACGATGGGGCGCATGAGCGGTAATGTATAGGATATATGTATTTGTTTTATTATACTGGGTGAACTTTCTTTGGAGTTTGTAGCAAGGGTGTCCACGATGTATCTCAACTCCTGAAATCTGATTATAAAATGTAGTTGCAGTAAATAAATGGAATCAAGAGTGGTGTAGTGGTAGTGCACTCGCCTCTCACCTCTGGGGTCTAGGGTGTGGTTCCTAGACTCAACATCACATACATTAGTGAATCAAGGGTGGTGTAGGGGAAGTGCACTCACCTCTCACCTCTGGAGTCTAGGGTGTGATTCCTAGACTCAACATCACATACATTAGTGAATCAAGGGTGGTGTAGGGGAAGTGCACTCACCTCTCACCTCTGGGGTCTAGGGTGTGATTCCTGGACTCAACATCACATACATTAGTGAATCAAGAGTGGTGTTTGGGTAGTGCACTCACCTCTCACCTCTGGGGTCTAAGGTGTGATTCCTGGACTCAACATCACATACATTAGTGAATCAAGCTGGGTAGTGTAGTGGAAGTGCACTCACCCCTCACCTCTGTGGTCTAGGTTGCGATTCCTGGGCTCAACATCACATGCGAGTTTCATTTGAATTGTTTGGTCTTCCTTTGAGGGTTTTTTCCCGGGTTCTCCGGTTTTCTTCCCTCGGCGCACAAAACACCACGCAACTAGCAAAAAACTTCAAAAGATTTAATTGATCCCTGCTCCATCGTAGGGTGTGTCTGTCTGTCAGTCAGTCAGTCAGTCAGTCTGTTGGTTTGTTGGTTTGTTTGTTTGTATAATGGTTCTTACTAGTACTCACATTAAATTCTGACAGGTTTGTAGGAACCACACTTTGTCCGCTGCGTGAAAGCCATCTCGGCAAGGGCTTGTACCAACAGCTGACGTAATYGTTATTGGATGGCTTGATTTCTGAATGCATTGGTACGATCTTGAAGAGTGTGCCTTGCTTTCCCACATCGCCTCGCTGAATCGTTTTATCCATACCTAAAGAAATGGATAAAAATATGGGTTTTCGGCGCCACGTTTATGGATGGATGGANTGGATGGATGGATGGATGGATGGATGGATGGATGGATGGATGGAGGGAGGGAGGGAGGAACGGACAGACTAATGTATAAACTTATCTATAAGATAGAGTACAAATAATCCTATTAGTAATATTTAAATATATAATAAATGATAATACCTTACCATAATAATAATCAATCCTGCTCATATTCATGTCTCCGGCGAACCACGCTTCAAACGGTTCATTGATCTCATCAAATGGAAGACTAACAAGACCAGTTGCATGGTATCTCCTTGGTAACAGCAAACTATCGTATATCCTATCATGAGCCTCCACTATCYCTCTTCTATATACACCGCTCGTATCTCTACCATTCTTCAATAATCCACTGAAACAAAGATATACCACGACTAATACAAAAATAGATAATGATAACATCCATATCCGTGGATTTCGTAAACAAGTTGATTTGTCGATAAAGAACATATCTCTAGTTCACTGAAATGTCCCTTTGACAAGAACCTTACAACACTTTCGTTTTCTCTTTGGTATTCCAGGACACTTTCCGTCTCATTATTAGATAATTTTACATAAAAATACGAAGATAATTGACTGATTTTGAATGACAGCAAAATATCATAGAARTATACAACAGAATGAAATTTTCCGTTTTACGACACAAAAGTCAATTCTGATTTGGTTTGGAAATCGAAAAGTTATAAATCCTGAATTTTTCCTCGCTAAATCTCCTGTTCCACAATTCCACTGTTTGATATTTTTGTTGTAGTGTATGAGAACTCGCTCAATCTAGTATTTCCCTTCCAAACATCTTCATTTTCATCGATATTTTGAATCCAAAACGCTTGAATATCACGCAAGTCGACCAACGATGAACTACAAGTTATGAATTCATTTATTATTTATCAATTGCTGTTTTATTTTA